GGTCCAGACGTACACTTGTGGACGTATGTCATCGAGACGTTTGAGCTAGACAGTCAGAGGTGGCGACGACCAGGCACGACTAGCATAGAGGTGGTGGGCCACATTTACTACTCGCAAGAGGTGCTAGGCAAGGTCTATTTTCACGGCATCGTGCACGATCATTGGCGAGAGGAGCAGACCGCGAGGAGGATCTTACTGACTCGAACGGACTCCGCGCGGGGTGAGGTAGAGCGGCTGCACGGGGGTGTTCGGAGAGTGACGACGACCTTCAGGATTGAAGGACACTTCCCATATCCTAGCAGTTGACTGCGTGTGACACTTCCATGCTTCGTGGCAGAGGAGCTTTGGGGACTTAGGCGTCTGGGTGAGATCTACTTTGCGGCTCTTGACTTGGACGGCCTCTGCCGAGGGTACACTGACAGGGATTGGGTGTTGTATGCTCAGTTTGTAGCAGGGCCGCTTGTAGGCGAGCGAGGACTCCAGCTGATTGAGTTCCTGCGGGTCATTGTACCTATCGGGAGCCCTGACCTATACTCTCTGTACCAGCCCCTAGCCTTCTGGACGGCACTAGAGAGAGAGGCTCAGAGGCCTACAAATCATTTAGCTAGAGTAGGACAGCTGTTAGCCGAGACTCGTGAGGAGAGGCCGGACCATCTCGTCTTGACCGGGGAGATTGAGGAGTATTACCGGGAGATATATCCAGAGGCAGACGATCTTGCGTGGTACGCTGAGGATCAGGATTGGGAGGACTTCGATGACATAGACCCTTGGGGCGACCAGGACGAGGGCTGGGGAGATCTGGCGCAGGCCGAGGGACAGGAGCAGGTAGGTGGAGGGGCGCTGCAGGAGGACGGCTGGGAACATTTACTTCAGGCCGAGGGACAGGAGGATATCCCGTGGGGCCTGAGGGTAGATGAGGACACATACGAGGATATGCCAGATGCATGAAGATGACTAGAGGCAGGACATATCCGAGTGAGGTTTAGAGAAGAGCGTACTGGAGAGGATTGCAGACCGGGATATACTGAGGGTGACTCTTTCCCTAAGACGAGATAGGACGGGAGGCCGGGAAGGAGAGGCGTTGGACATTGTTGAGCGACAGATCAGACTCATGACGAAACATGCCCTGGAGATACGGAGGAGCCAGAGGTACGTCGAGTTTACTATCTACTTCCATGGAGCAGACGGGAGAGCGCACAGCACCTACTCGACCATACTGGACCTGAGTGGGAGAGTTGTCTGAGGAGTTAGCAACGTCGAGAAATAGGGTGCGTCGGAGGGAGTAGAGTGATGCTGATCGAGAGTCGGAGGGGAGATGAGGAGTGACTTAGTAGCCTGGTTAGCTTATGTTTTCTCCCGAGAGTCCGAATCCTATAGTGTGAGGAAGCTTATGAGACCCAGAGAGGCGGCGGTTGGATACGACATTCCTCTTCCTGTGGCGTTAGAGGGGACAGGGCGTGTTCCGATACGATACCTGGGAACGTGGCTCGCAGAGGGACTCTTCCTTTGGACAGTGATACTGAGAGATGAACGACCCGAGAGGACTCATGACCTAGAAGGGGTCGGACATCTAATAGCGGATAGAGCACATGATTTAGAGGTAGGACTGACGCTCGCAGGGGCAAGCAGGGCTTGGTGGAGAAGCGAGTCGTTGGCCAGAGGTGATCGCTAATCAACAACTGGCGAGACTCTCTGGAGGGAGGACGTGTTGGAGCCGCTTGGTATACGGTCCCCCGCATCCGACCCTCCACCCGAGAGAGGATTGGCGATTCGGACTTCCTGCCTTCGTGATAGGGCAGACCTATAGGAGTGTAGAACGTTTGAGTAGAGCAGTGGACCACACACTTTACGCGCTCTGGGAGGGCTCAGCGCCCCGTTTCAGGGAAGTATACTACGCCATTTGTGTGAGGTGGGGACCGCCCAGTAGAGAGACGCTTGACGACATCATAGTCGTTACTAGCTAGGTGGACTGTCTGAGGCCAGTCGATCTGATTAGGTACTGCACGGCGATCGATTACGTGGGGCTAGAGGACGTGAGGTCTCTCTTCGAGGTCGAAGCGTAGGGAATGCCGGGGAGGACTACCACAAAGATGCGCGTAGGAGAGCAACTGGTAAGCACAGGGTACACTGTGACAGTACTCCTTCGAGCATACATAGATGAGGATTTGACAGCGAGGGAGTGCAGACAACGAGCCAGAAATTGATCCACGAGCATAAAGCTGATGTACTGGCGCGAGTGACCTTCCAGACCTCGATTTCCTATGAGGTGATGATATGGTCACATGGTTATATGCACGCGGAGCACTTCCACGACGAGACGATAGCGGAGGCTAGAGCGAGGGTGAGAGGATGAACTGGAAAGAGATGAGGACTGAGTATGGAAGAGGAGAGTGAGGCAGTCGAAAGAGTGAGAGAGCGCATTAAAGAGTCACTCTTGAACCGGGTAAAGGAGTTGGGGAACAAGTTAAGGGAGATCTGGTCGTGCCAGGATGAGGGCAAGTTGCGTAGGGCTGAGCTCGTGACGAGAAAGCTAGAGAGTCTGTTTAGGGATGAAAGAGAGATTATCCAGGCGTGGAGATCAGACTTTCTGGAGAGGGTAAAGGCTAGAAGTGTATCACGTGAAGGAACTAGGGAGTGATCTGCAGAGGGCGAGACAACGGAGGACAAGGTAACGCAGGGAGGTAGCGATAGGACATGAGGGGGACGGACCGTTGGTGTTAGTGATCGTAGAGCTCCAGCTCCATACCAGACTGTGCATAGTTGAGGAGGCAGAGTGTGTCCGCCGTGCGCTGCGTGAGGCAAGGGGGACAAAACTTTGGATTGGAATAGAAGGAGGACGAAGGATAAAATATGTACTCCGAGTGACATCTTTCGAAGGGCAGTCTCGGATAAGGGCATGGTACAAGACGACCAGAGAGGCTGAGAGGTTGAAGATAAGCGAAGCCAAGAAAGCTGGAGAGTTAGGGAGAGTTGTAACAGACGGTGCGATACTCAGGGTGCTAGCCGCTCACGATCGGTACTGGAGGGAATCGATAAAGACTTTAGATGCCATAGAGGATAGTGGAGATGAGGAGGATTTTGAGACATTCTATGACATATTCGAGCTGTCGGCGATGAGGTTACGAGTGGTTATAGCACCGACTTACCTTAGGTGCTAGACATATGACCTCATAGCCGTCTGGGAGTTAAAAGAGATGAAATAGAGATTGAAAGCTCTTGGAAGGATAGTGGAAGCTAGAAAGGTCGATGAACGATTTTGGATGGCAGTAGGAGGGGAGCTTCCTCCTTTAGAGAGCTGCCCGATTCAGGACGGGCTGGGAGACCTAGCAAGGAGGACAGAGATAGACGCTCGGAGGCTCTTGAGGGGTGCTGATCAGGAGACACTGATTAGGCTTGGGACCGCGATCTGCCACAGGAGTAGAGATCCTATCACGGGTGTACTGCAGATCCGGAGAGGCGCGGCCTTGTTGACCGATCCCAAAAGAGAGGTTTACCTAGACACAGGGATTCTTGGGGTAGAAGGAGAGCACGAGATCCGCGACCGGAACCGAGTACTGGTGGTGGTGATCAGGGCAGCCGAGAGCTAGGGTTGGTGATGAAGGTGAACCGTGACAAGGAAACTGGTCCGGGCTGCAGCAACTGTCATAGGTCCGGGCTGTAACACCTGGCGAGAGTGCCCAACTCCGTCTTCAAGTGTCCTATGGAACCAGACGCGATGGGGCCACAACCAACCACGGGTGAAGTGGGGGAGGAGTACATGACATCGCCCGACAGAGCTCTGAGGGATCTGAAGGAACGAATTAGGCGGGAAGCACCGTTGAGATGGGCTGACCAAACCAACGACAGAGAGCCCGACGTAATGGGCGAGCCGGTCGTGACAGAACCGCAGGAGGCTCTGAAGACAGCAACCTCGAGCGGCCGACGAGAAGCGACGAGACGACGCTCCCCCGAGTATGAGCGGAGGGAAACCATGGCGGATAAGCACAGGGACGACTGGCGAAAGAGTTCGAGGGACTCCTATTGGAGGGACAAAGATAGAGATAGAGCACCGCCGCGGCGTGTCTTCAACCCCCAAACGGGGGAATCACACCCACTCCCTTACGAGAGCAAGGATCGCTATATTATTACGCATAAGGCCTCAGAGCCTCCTACTTTCAGGGGCTATGGCATTACAGAATATCTGGAGAAGTGAGAGCTTCACGCTAGCCGGAGTCAGTGGTCGGAGGAAGAGATTATAGAGAACTTCGTATTTAATATGGACCCAAGTCTCGGTAAGGAAGTTAAGGAAGCTCGACCGAAGGATGAAAAATGGACTACGTATAAAAAGAATCTCGTTGAGCTTTACAAATTGGAGGATAACAAGTACTCCATCAAGGACCTTGAGACAATTACTCAAGATGAAGATGAGAGCGTACGGGCATTTGGGATGCGTTTCCAGAAGATCTCCGATGTGCTGATGAAAAAGGGGAAGATCTCAGAGGCCAAGCGCTGTACTATCTTCATCGGACACCTGTCCAAGGGAAGACAAAAAAGTATACTTAGAAATCTTTCGCGCGACAAGCTTGACTTCCCAGAAGTCCTAAAGCTTGCAATAAAGGCAGAGGCAGACGACTACAAGGACTTGGTGTAGAGAGGGATGAGGAGACTTGACTTCTCTTTCTACAAGAAGTATGCCACTGATAGATGTCCTGATTTCAAGGACTATCCCTGGTCGGAGAAAAATGAAGCCGTCGCCGAGGAAGTGAAGGAGATAAGGGACATGGTAAAGGGATTGACAAGACAAGTTACAAAGATTGTGACCACCACAAGAGCCACGACATACCGGGACAAGCCCGGAGGACCCTATTCACTTCGCTGGGACCAGAGGAACACTGATTCCTGGAGGAGTGTCGAGGATAGAAATCCTCGAACGCTGACTGATTATCGTGCGACGGAGAGGGAGAGAGACGACGAGCCATGGCGACGTAGGGATGATGAGATAGACCAGGACCGCAGAGCTCGCGAGACGTATGGGCGAGCCAGGAGGCTGGATGATTTTTCGCGTAGCCCTCGCTATGAGCCTGACGGGGGTAGAGGCGACTCTCGAGGCCGATGGGAGTCGGATCAGGGCCGGCGAGACGGATACAGGGATGGTAGATATGCGAGATCGGACCGAGATGGACATAGGGACGGCAGATATAAGAGATCGGACCACGATGGACATAGAGACGACAGATATGACAGGTCGGATCGAGACGGATACAGGGGCGATAGATATGAGAGAGGAGATCGACCCGATGATTCACGAGGGTGATACGACCGAGGAGACCGACGTGATGATTCACACGGGCGGTACGACCGAGCAGACCGACGTGATGATTCACGTGGGCAATACGACTGAGGAGACCGACGTGATGATTCACACGGGCGGTACGACCGAGGAGACCGACGTGATGATTCACGCGGGCGATACGACCGAGGAAACCGACGCGATGATTCACGCGGGCGATACGAACACGGAGACCACCGCAATGATTCACGCGGCAGGAATGAGAGAGGGGGATATGGCGCGTCGTCTGATCCGTATCCGAAGTCCCCTGACCCCAGAGCAGCGAGAGGTTCGACCTTCAGAGGCACAGACGACAGGCCACCCACTCCCAGAAACTCTTGCGTCTACTGTAGAGGAGATGATCATATCAAGAGAGATTGCCCGGACCTCCAACGGGCAATAGATGAGGGACTTGTCGTGCTTGACGACCGCAAGTACGTCAAGTGGGCAGATGATCTGAGAGATGTATGGATGTCCCCTTCGATGAAGGAGAATGTCGAAGCAAGGAGAGTAAAGCCGAGTAAAGGAAAGGAGTCGGTCAGGAGCCAGAGCATCAAGATAACTTTTGAGGGGGATATGGCGACCACACCCATAAGGGTGGCAGCCACCAAGTTGGCGAGAGGATCTACATCGAAGAAGACTGACACGGATTACGTGATGGCGGAGAAGGACGGACAACGGATCGATGAAGAGGAGGTTATTCTTTCGCCGCGGAAGCGGGCGCTCCCCATAGAGTTTCACGTCAACAGCTGGACAAATGTCGACTGGGCGGAGGAGATGTCCAGGGAGGAACTCATAGCTGCCCGAACAAGACAAATAGCCTACGGTTTGGAAGACAACCTTATGACAGCGGCAGATCGTCTGACAGTGGAAAGAGACAAAGGTAAAGAGAGATGGGATAAGAGCGTGCGGATCAGGAGAGAGAGGGTGAGCGTAGGAGATATGGTCCTTCTCTACGGCGCAACACTGGAGAGGACCTGGACCGGAAAACTCGCCAATAGATGGATGGGACCTTACAGAGTGGTTGAGGCGCTCGACTGTGGTGCATATATGATAGCAGAATTAGACGGATCCAAGTGGAAGGACCCTGTGGCGGGTGCAAGATTAAAGTTGTTTAAACCCAGACCTGGACCCACCTTATCGCTGACAATCCCGAAAGGGAAAGGAAAAGCCAAAATGGAGGATGGAGCCCCCTTGAGACGATTCGAGGCAGGGGAGAATTCCAAGAAGAGAAAAATAATAGAGAAAAGAAAGGTCAAAGGGTTAGCTTTAGGAAGAGAGAAGAAATGGTTATTCGTGCTCAAGAGGGCTAGACAGAGAGTTCGCGTTAGACGTACTGGCGGGTCGGCACCCTCCTCAGGGCAAAGACAGAAGAAAAAGAGGATCGTGCCGAGGCCAAAAACCAGCAGGAACAGGAAAGTCAAGAAGAATCTTCTTAGCCTCATGACTCATCACAAACTGAAACATAAGACAATTGAACGCCGACGTGGGCGACCTTTACGGGCCATCACCCTGAAGCTTGTCCGCTTCGTCTGACGTAAGTGGGTAGGGCTCGATGGGGGCGTCGAGAAGTGGTCCGGGCTAACTGTCAGGCGGCCACAAGCAGTGCGCCGCCTGAAATCTGCGGTTTTGGGTCTTAGGCTCAAGGACAAGTCCGCGTTTTGACGGTACTCCGGGTTGACCAAGCAACAAAGATATGGGGAACTCAGGACACCCCAGATTTTGAGCGCACTGAACCTTACGAGTAGCCCTCAAAGATAGCGAGATGGGTGGGCGCACTCGGCTTATCAGGAGACCGTCATTTCCGGCCGTTTAGAGGGTTGGACCCGGATCGGTCTGCCGCGGAGAGGCATCGTGGGAACAGACCTCGCCGTAACGTTTTTGCAGCATACGACCAGGGCCGAAATGAGGCCTCAAATTTTTGTCTATTTTAGTACCATAATTAAAGATGGGGAAAAGGGATTAAGACCAGTAGGGGAGAAGGAAAAAACATAATATCCCTTAATGTCTTTATTTTTCATGGCATTTAATTATAGGGGGAATACCCTTGTTATTTTATGTTCCTGGCAATGGAATTAAAAACATAGAAAAAGTTTTAAAATGGTGAAAGAGAAAAGAAACAAAAGGAATTTGACCATTCATTTAAGCCTTCTCGGAACTTAATATTGGGGAACTTACGGTTACTTTACTATTTCCGACAATAGAATTAAGAAAAGGGGAGAATGATTAAAAACGATGAAAGGGACAAGAACCCATGACTATTGGGAGATTGGTCTAATTTCACCTCGATTACCCGCCTTCAGCTCTGACCCCAGATTGATCATTTTCCCCGGATTTTAACAGTTTTCACTACTTCCAATGGTCGAGGTTCCCTGCGTCGCTTTCTCTGGTTTGCTTGATTACTAACATTACCACAGTCGGGATGTTCTGAGAGCGGGAGTCGCATGGACAGCCTGGCGTGGTGCTACCTTGGGTCGACAGTATGGTGTTTGGTTCGGTACGGATACGAGGATTGTTACGGAGTGGATACGTCCTGTGGTGTCTAACGTGCTCCAGGTTCGGTATGGGCCCGGTGACAGTTGTTTCACTACGGTGACTTATTGTCAGGTTTGGGACAGCTGCGGTGATTTATTTTCAGGGCCGGGGCCACTACGACAATTGTTCCAGGTTTGGAACCTTGGCGACAGCTTGTTTCAGGCCCGGAAACGTTGCGGCACTGTATATCAGGTTCGGGACAGGTACGAAATTATCATGGCACGGTTGTATGGGTTCGGCATCTGCGTGGCACAGCAGCCCGGTATTGGATTTCGGGTTTGGTCGGGTTCGGTGGTATCGCGGTGTTTCGTTTCATGTTCGACGCCCTCACGGCGAATTATTTCAGGTTCGRAACCTCTGGGGTGACTTATTTTCAGGTCCGGGACCACWRTGACGATTTATTTCAGGTTCGGAACCTCTACAGTGATTTATTTTYAGGTCTGGGACGACTGYGGTARTTCATTTCAGATTCGAGACCTTGGCGGCAGTTTATTCCAGGTTCGGTACCATTGTGGYAGCTTATTCTCAGGTCCGGGATCATTGYGGCGATTTACTTCAGGGTCGGTACTATTACCGYGCCGCTGCATCTTSCYGTGTTCGACATGTTTCAGGTACGGTWTTGGTTTGRCATTGGCGTGGTACACRCCGCGGCATCATTTTCAGGCTCGGTCTTGGGTCTGCATCGGCACGCTCCAGACCCTGCATTGGTACGACGTTGAAATGTCACAAGCATCTGCGTGGTCTCAGGCCAGAAATTGCCGCGGTGTCAACAAGTATCACTCTAGCTTTGGTCCGGCTATTGACAACGCCGACGACTGGGAAATTTTGAAATGGTTATGTCAAGTCTGGTGAAGAACTGAGGTCGTGGTTGACCGCAGAATTTCTTTTTTTTGGGACACAGGTACAGGCCCCTGACCCAGTCGGAAGTGGACATTTTGGAACGGGACTGAATTCAGCCCACGATCCGCAGTCGTACGTTGCGGGGCCGTGTGGAGGTACCAGGAGGGAGAATGTTGACACAGAGGCCAAGGATACAATTATCAGGAGACTGAGTCCCCATGTACCGGGCCGGAATCGCTGTGAGATACGGGCTCGGTTAATATCGCGAGTGCATAGCCTACTGGGTCGCCAGGCGATTGGGGCAGACGGGGGAGAACACTCAGCCACGTCGTACATGTCCGGAGAACAGCATGAGCCGGGCGTACCGAAGGCTACATAGGGGATACGGACGGTTGCAGAGGGGAGCATGCACGGTGTACCCAGCGCACTTCGTAGCGGAATGCAGGCGGAGAGAAGGGGAGACGAGCACGGTGTGCCAGGCCTTCGGAAGGGGATGCGTCTGGGTCCACGCGGTTGTGAATCGAGCTAGGCGAACACCGCACACACTCTGCAGACTTGTGATAAGCGTGCTTGTGAACAAGCGCCCCTGTGCCGCGATCCCGAGCATTCGAGTATGCGTGAGCCTTCATGTGCGTCCGGGCGTGCTCGAAGGAGAGTGTGCCAGCGGTATCCTGCGGTGGGATGCAGGCGAGCGAAAAGGGAGAAGGAGAGGGAGTGAAAGAGAGGGAGGGGGAAAGTCGGAGAGCGCGACACGTGTGGGYGGTAAGCCTCCGAAGACCTCTGTGTGAATTAGAGCCGCTGTAAGAACATGCTCCATAGAGAAGAGAAGAGAAGGCACGAGCTAAGCGAGTCCGTTGACGCCGGCAGCCCTTGAACAGTCMCAGTGAACCTTCACCRTCGTCGAAGGGTGCTCAGGCTTCCGTTTTTCTTGACTGCTTGTTAYGTCRATCTCGCTACTGAGGGATCACGGGTCCCGCGAGGTGAAGAGTTTCTCATTTCATCTCAGGTACGAACGACATCGGGCTGGAGAAAGCACGATTAGAGGTATTTGTGGTATCCTATAACCCGCCGAGATAAGAAGGGCTGGGCTTTCGTGGGTATCGCTCTTTCAACCGAATTAGAACCTTCGCTTAGACCTTCCGTTCGGAAGTCACGCAACTGAGTGACATCGAGATGGAGAGAGTAACTAGGTGGAACTGATCCGCTGTCTATCCTGTAAACTTGTAGCAAGGGACTGACCCCTCAAATGCTGACTGGGTCCGCTGATGGGGAGTCTCGTTGAAGATATCATTGTTTATTTCGCTAAGCTCGAGGGCGGGAAATGTCGAGCTTGCTTCTTGCTGGATCGACTCTTCGCCTGGTCTCTTCTGGACCTCCCGGCACAGGGAGAGTGAGTTAGAAGCTTCAAAGGGAATACTCTATGCGATCGCCGTGTACGTGAGGCAGCGAGCACGAGAGAAGGGACGAGGACAAAAGGGGGGGTGAGCAGACAGTACCCGACTGTTTTTTTTTGTGTCCTGCATTAATTAGACTAAGGGTAAGTGAAAACCGCAAGAGGGAGATGTAGAGGAAAAAAGAGAAACAAGGGGATAGGAGGACAGCGAGAGGGAGAGCGTTGCTCGTTCGGACTGTGTTCACTGCTATTTTGTGTTCGGCGTTTACTCGTTCCTTTCCTCTCTTTGTGTGAACTGCAACGTTCAGCTTTTGCGCATACATGTCGGATGAATTCTTGAATACAGTTGAATTCAACTCTTGATTGGCAGTTACTTGCCTGTCTCTCTGTGTGTGTCCTGCAAACTCTAGAAGGAGTGAAGGAGTAACGTTCTCCAGTCTGTTCTTGTGTCCTGCTTTTATTTGACTGTGGGAGAAGGGAGTGTTGTGCGACATTTCAGGGACGGATAGTCGAGAGGCTTACCTTTCATTGTGAACAGTTTTCCCTTCAGATCGCGCACGCTAGAGCGGTAAGCCCATCTCGGTTAAATTCATTGTCCGTTTTGAGAAGACATGAACCTCGCATCATTCTTGATGTGAGCCCGAAACCAGACCTGAGCGGCATTCTGCATTACATCCCCTCGCTCCCTGTATAGGCTGGAGTCCGGGCAAACGAAGGACTGAGAGTGAACATACATTTCTTTTTCTATCAACCCCCCCTGCCT